TGTCTCTGGTGAAGCCTCTCACCGCCCCTGAGCCTCTGGCCTGTACCCCAGTTCTGTATGAATAAATAAATAAATCTTTAAAAAAAAAATTTGCAGAAATCTCAGAGCATTGTTGTGTCTGAGACAGCTCTAAGCAGATGGAGCACCAGGAGGAGCAGCTGGGCTGCCGGGCCTCAGACAGCTGCTCCCTGGGTGGTTTTTGTTCAGGCCTGTATCACTGTGGGAGGGGAACTATAATACTGCTGACAGTAGTAAGTGGCGGCATCCTCAGGCTCCAGGCTGCTGATGGTGAGCTTGAAGTCTGTCCCAGACCCGCTGCCGCTGAAGCGGGCTGGGATGCCATCGGGCCTGCTGGATGCAGCATAGATGAGGCGCCTGGGAGCCTGCCCAGGTTTCTGCTGGTACCAGGCCATGTAGTTGCTAACACTCTGACTGGCCCTGCAGGAGATCGTGGCCCTTTCTCCTGGAGACAATGATAGGGAGGCTGGAGACTGGGTCATCACAATTTCTCCAGAGGAACCTAAATAGGAAACAAAACACATAAATCACCCATGTAATCTCTACCTTCACTTTCTCCCCGGCACAGCCAGGCAGACTGATCAGCACTCTGCTCCCTTTATTGTCTCATGAGCAAATTCCCAGGTCCCGGGAATCCACCACCCAAAGTGTCCTTGAGGGCAGCACCCTCCGGGATGCCACACCTGGGGGCCAGAGCAGCAGGAGGCAGAGAAGCTGCGCTGGGGCTTCCATGGTGCCTGTGTCCTGGCTGAGGCAGCTCTTGCCCAGAGCCTGCCCAGCCTGATATGGGCCTTGGGCAGCAGGGGGCTGGGGCATGCAAAGCAGGGGTGGGCACCCTGGCCTGCAGCTGCAGAGACCAGAGGCCTCATGTTCTCTGCGCTTGAGCAGCCACCTGCACATCACAACCCAGTCATACAGGGGGTGTCTGGTCTAGGCCTGGATGAAATAAAGCTTTTTGTCCATTTCTCACAATTCATGTATATCTCCCTTAGTGCGTGACTGGGTGGTTAAAGTGACGATCAGCAATGATCGTCCTGACACCCCTTGCCTCTGCTCTACAGTGACTTTTGCTGAGGGTCCTCAATATGCCTTATTCTTTCACGATCCATAAAGACACAGAAACTGATTTAGATTCAGTGACGTGTGTATAGGGACAGTCACCCTCACCCAATGAGTGGGAGCAGGCTCTGACTCCAGCACACTGCCATTTCCCTGAAGACAGGGGTTTTACTGACAGATGGCTAGGGTGGGCCGATTGCTGGGGTCCTCTCATTCCACACTGCCATTCAGCTTGGAAATTCTCTCTCACCAGAAAAGTCTTCACATTTTAAGAAACATCTTTCCCCCCATATGATAGAAAACATGATGCCTGCACTGTGTACAGGGGTCCACATATTTTAGAATTATAGACCTAATGAATACGTCCCTTACATAGAACGAGTTTTCGTTTATGTGCAAACTGCCAGTGTCATTTCCATGACACCACAACTGGGTGTTTGAGACACAGGAGCAGGGATGTGCTGAAAGAGCCCTGGAAGGGCAGGGTGTCCTGAGGAGACCGGGGGAGGGGGGTGTGGGGCGCTGGGGTGGAGCTGCTGGGTGGTCACAGTCCGTCTGCTCCTCCCGGCTCCCCCCTGGTGCTCTCCCTGCTGCTCCAGGATCACCGACTCCCGCAGAGTCCACCTCACGCCAGGGTCTCCCAGGATGCAGTTGTGCTGGAGTCACATGCTGGGACCTGGGAGGGGCCGGCAGGGACAGAGAGTTGGGGAGAAATGTGAGACCCATGTGGGGGCTGAGGCCTGAGGGGCGGGTGGGTTTCAGAGCTGCGAACAGGAGCCAATAGCGACCATGATGGGGGGATGCGACCACCAGCCCCCTCCCTGGACTGTCAGAACATGTGAGGGCTAAGGGGTTATCCATCTTGGTCAACAGAGTTAAGCCTTTTATTTTTATTACTATTAAAAGTTACTTCAACTTAAATTAATGTGTCTTTCCCATTACCCTGGGCATTGGGGCCACTATCACCCCAAATATGAAGCTGAGTCACGTGCTGCTTATGTGGATTGTCATGTAATTAGGTCTTTCATCTACTTGAGCTAATTTGCTTGTCTGCTATTACGCCTGGCTCTAGGTTTCTCTTTCCATCCTCTGTCTCTGCCCCCTCCCTTCTTTTCCATTCCTTCTGTTCCGTCTTTTTGTGATTTGATTTCCAGTTTTTGCAGCAATATTTGCAGAGAAATCATCTTTGCTCCATTATTTCCTTTTTTCCTTTGTCAAGATCAGTTGGTTCTGCTGTTCACGCAGAGTCTATTTTGGGTTTTCTGTTTTATTGGCCACTGATTGGTCTATTATTTCTTCAACATCATGCCGACTTCATGACTATGCTTTAGAGTGAGTGTTACAACAGGTGTCTGCACCCAGTTTTGACATATTTTAGCATCTTGGCTATTGCTTATGTTTAAAACCCTAATTAATGTTCAAGGTATTTTATCATGTCATTGACCAACAATCATAATTTTCACCTGTTATTCTATTGAACAAGTGTTGTCTGATTTAATTTCCTGTCAAATAGAAATTAAATCTGGTGTATCTTTTCAAAAATGTCTTTCAGTAAATATTTTGATAATGACTTTATGACAAAGACACTTTTTTAGCTGTAATAACCTCCCACAAATATAGATCAGCTGATACTCATCACCTGTGTCCTGTTAGAAAGCAGAATCCCACGTAGTAAGTGACATGGGGACTGTGATTGCAACTTGTACCAATCAGGTGGTCAATGATGATGTTGATGAGTTCTGAACAAATTTTGAGCAGCTTGGTATTTTCACGGTGAGATCAGATATTCACCATCCACATTTAGTCATTTTT